GGACCGACAGGGTCGTATTAACCCTCCTCCAAAATCATTTCAGTTGTGCCGGTGAAGGCATGAAACATTAGCCTTTAGAATGAAAATTAATTAAAATATTGCCCGATTCTGACGTAATATGTGAGTGACAACAGATCACAATTCTTCATGGTAACGTGTCGTGTATCGTAAAAAGAAATGAGAGTGCTGCAGAGAAGTAGGTCTCTCAACTGAACCAGTACAGTTGGTCGCTTTTACGAACAAGCGGGCTCACCCAGATTTCGGGGGTTTCCAGAAATCTAGACCTACACCAAAAATGGGCATTGCCCTACCTACAGGATAAGTCTGGTTTCATTTGTATGTATATTTGTTTGGTTATAGAGAAAACTTTCCTTGTCTTAAAAAAAACAACTGAACAAGGGTCCAAAAACTTTACCTTCGATTTTCTCTAAACAGCATTTTTTCGGGATAGCCCCCTTGTGCTTAAAAACGACCAGTTAATCGACGTGAAGGCCTTGAACTTTGACCACCGTAGGCTACTCTCACTGGTAAAATAGAAAGCAAACAAGGCAGGGGCCAGACGCAGGGCAATTTACGTGAAGGGCCCGAACAGATGAATGACGGGGAAGGACCGGAATAGTATGTTTGGTTGGTTTATTTGTTGTTGTTGTTTGTTGTTGTTTTTTGCTTTTTTTCTTGTTTTCTTTTTATTTCTTTTTATTATTATTTTTTTAAATAATTTTTTTGAGGGGAGGGGGTGTTTGTTTTTTTGTTAAGAGCATCTGACCAAAGAAATTTTGATGAATGTCGAGCTGTGATCACTTGTGCTTCTATCAGATCTTACAATTGATTATGACTATGAAACAGTAGGCTACTGCTGACACTAATGTGACCAAATATGGCGCTCGTGAGAAAGCTTAAACCCATTATGTTGTAGTGGTACTTTCGTAATCATTATTCTAATTAATATTCAGCTTTCTGTAGTTTTATTTATTAATTTGATGACCTTGGACTCGGGAATAATGACTCTACTTTAATATCAAGGCTGAACACGACGCCGAACTCAAAAAAATATTTAAAAGAGGAAACTTTTTTTTCCCCGCTCAACACCCGCTTCTCGATTTACAACGTCGATATGACGCCATGATGCATCAAAGATACAAGCATTTCCCCCCTCAAACAGCAGAGATCCCCCTAGCATCAAATAAAAAGGCCCAGAGCAAAGATTCAATCTGTGTAGAGAGCAGGCGTTGACGATCACCCGAGGATATAGGACAGACCAGTCGGCTAGGGCCCGCCGATAGGGCTGGCGATACGACGACACTACAACACTGGTTAGCCCACAAGCTTGTTTGTACTTCTTCTTTCTTTCCCATGCTGCTGCAGCATCTTTGTTCAGATGTGTCTG